ACTCAATGCGGCGTGCCTGAAAGAATACCACTCAGTGCGTATCTACATGCCTCTTGCTTCTTGTAACAATCGAGTCGCAATATTTGAGAGCGCATGCATGGTAGGAAAATCTGTAGGCGGCGTTTGATCAACACACAGGATGCCGTTAGACACATACCCTTGTACGAGCGGCCCGTTGGTTCTTCAGGTAGTGGCACTCGTCGCAGACGACCACTCCAAAGTTGAACAGGTCCAGTTCCCCTTTCATGCGGTTGACCTTACATGAAGATCGAGACGGCCAAGGAGGAATTGCGGTACGGCGGATATTAAAAGAAAAAAAGTCCTGCATGGCAGCAAGGTTCAACTATTAACATAAGCATATGGCCTTCCAAGTTGAGGCTCCTCCTTGTTCAGGCGGGCTTGGCAATGCTTGTATGGCCCCATGACATAAAAGAGACTTGCCAGCGCCTGATATTGTCTCATACCCAAAAGAATGTCTAACGTCTAAGACATTCCGACTTCAAGTCAACATGCCAATTTCTGGTCGTCGGCAGGCGAAACGTGGTGGCGTGGCAATTTTTATCCCAAGTTGTTGAGACAAACATTGCATTATCTGTTCATGTATATACATCCTGTGCGACTGTGGGTATATCTCGAATGGGTAGTCTTTCTGTGTTTGTTTTTATTTTTGCTTGATACGAATGTACCATGCGTTGTTGTGTCAAGAAATTAACGAATCAAGCCGCGAATGCGTTGACTCAGACTATCACGTAACGTGAGCCCCGAACAGCCAATCTTGCTTGTAAAAGCGCGTGGGTGAGGAGCCACAGAAACACGGTATCTATAAAGCGCGGTATCTGTATGCACTCTTTGTGCCTATCAATACTTCGGCGAGGCCGGCTGTAGGCATTCGAGATGGGGGCGTCACTCTGGCAAGTGCAATGATAGGGAGTGATACCTCCTCGCTCCTTACCTGTGGCCACATGTCTCAGGCATGGGGGTAGAGTTGGGTCAAGTCTTCTTCCTTCGGTACAAATGTAAGCGCGTTTCCGAGAAGGTTTGGGGGCAATGGCGGTAGTGCGGCGATGCATTTGTATTCGTTTGTACCCGGAGACAAGCGTCACAATGGATTTAGGATGCAGACCAGGAATCGCCCGGTGTAGTAGCCAATTCGCCGTCTAAGGAACAGAGAGACGAGCGCCAACAAACTGTTAGATTCGTGCTAGAATGGATGCTGCTGTCCGTGTGAGACGAACCGTACATGGGAGAGAACCGACTGAAAAGAAGCAGCAAAAGACCATTCAATCAAGTGTATCATTGAGAGTGGCGGTGCCGGGTGGGCTTCGGCAACATCAGCGCCAGGACAGCATCGACGCACATGGTTTGGATATACATGCTCTTCAACGTGCTATCTCCCGGTCACGCACAGCATTCAAAGACATAGTCGAGGCAGACAAGCCTGCGTCTTCCAAAGATCCAAACATTCATCGGGGTGCTTTCTGTCAGCCGATCACAAACGGCTTCGGAATGGGTGGATGTTCGTTGATACCATGGAACTTTGATGGCTCTGCTCGGGTTTTCCCGAGGGTTTTCCCGAAATAAAGCATGCCTCTGGGGCAGCTCAACAGGCACCGCCCACAGTAAATGCTGTCGTCTGCAGTCACGAGCCGGTTGGCAGCGGGAATGAAAGGGCGAGTGGGGGGGCGGGGGCTGATCTTGGAGTCGAAACGGACACCCGAATTGCTCTTCGTTCAGTCTGTACATCATCCTGTGACTGCAGGTACTCCTGCGTCGGTCTTGCTTACCCTTTCCTTTGATGAATTCCATGTGTTACCAATTCTTCCTGGTAGGGCTTTGAGCTTCGTGGCCACGGACTGGTGTTGCAGACACTCAGGTCGAATCAACAACAAAACAGACGACCGCCTGGGACCGCGAAGCAACGCTGCTCACTAAATTAGCGCAATTGCCGCTTGCGTGGTTGTTTTGTGTACCGATAAATGTGAGCCAATTGCTAATTGCGATAACGTTCTCACCAGTTCGTAGGAAATGATCACCACCTTTGTGACGCCCCGGTTCAGGTCCTGCTTGCTTTTGGACACCACCACAATCTGCTTTTTCGTGATGCTGTCTTCGTCCAGCCACTTGAGCAGTTCGTGTTGCCAGTGATAGCGCGCTGAGCTGGGAGACACAATGAGCAGCGGCCATTCTGACTCGTACGCAGCGGCGCAGCAGATTGCCTGTGAGGAGGACCATACAAGAGTTCATCAACTCAAAGTGGCGTTTCGCTGCTGAGGTATAGTAGCCTGGAGGGGAAAGAGGGAAGCACCACGGTGCTCAAGACAACATGCGCTTGAAACGCAGACAGGCTTTAGACTCAACCAAAGCATGAATTTGCTGCTACAAAACGAGGTATCTTGTACCGCAAAGTTGGGTCACCTGGATTGTCTTGCCTAAACCCATCTCATCAGCAATCATTGCGCGTCCCTCCTTCTTGAGGACGAACTCAACGCCTTGCTTTTGGAAAGGGGCAAGATGCTTTCGGATGCACGCTGGCACCTGTGGTGGTGACAGTCGATAGATCCGTATCATCGCAGTGAAGATCGGTAGGGGGCGTGGAGTTCTGATTACTCCGGCGACAAGGAGAGCCCACTCTTTCGAACCAGTACAAGGTAATACAGGGTATCAAGCGGACGGGGCACACATGAAAGCAAATCGCGGCACTGATCCCAAAACCAGACCATACCAGTCCAGAATTGGCGGGAAAACGGTCTAGTGTGGGGTAGGGGCAGCAAGCAACCGCCGCGCACCCCCTCATAAAAACTCATCGAACGCTTTCGAAATTTCCAAGGCATGCGACAAGTGAAGTCAGAAGCTGCCGTAGGAGAGGCGAACGCGTGTTCTCACCATCTTTTCGCAGAGTTTTACGGTGGGTTCCTTTTCGCCATCTGCACCCTGTTCAGGCTCAACCGCCAGCGTAGCGGCCGCGAGCGCTTGCCGTGGGACCGGCACCACCTGAGGATGCGGTTGGTGCGGTTGATGTAAAACCAAAGGAATGGCGATCGGCAGCACAAGCTTTGACCATCCCGTCGGTAAAACACAAGCCAGCAAGTAGACAACGCAGTACATCACTATCACGTTTGCCCGTGAAGGTTTTGAGAAGGATCCACGTGCTCTGCGAAACGCGATCAATGCTTGCAAGAACTCTACCTCGCGAACCTGTAGCCCACAACAAGTGCGTTACAGTCCCTTCGACATACACATTGAGACGATGGCGTACGGAAAATCGAGGGTTGGACTGGGGGGGGGGGGGGGCGTGCTATGTCTTTG